CGCTTCCTGGCAGCACAACCGGACCAAAGTCTGGTTCCCCTGGGCTACTTCCTACCCTACTCAGCCTTTGTGGCTCCTGTGATAAATGAAGGGGGAGTGGGAGTAGCTCCCTTTTATAGACACCCAGCCAGCCAGTAGCTATAAAATCCCTCTTAGTAGCTGTTCTCTAATTGCTCTACCTGTAAAGGGTTAAAAAATCTCACTACTGCATAGGTAAAAGGAAGTGAGTGGGCACCTGGCCAAAAGAGCCAATGGGAAGGCTAGAACTTTTTAAAATTGGAACAAGACTTCCCTTTTGTCTGTTCTGTTGTTGTTCTCGGGGAGAGGCAGACAGGGAGTAGTTATGCTGTGAAAAGCTTGGGCCAAGTATGAAAAATCATAAGTATCATACCTAGAAACTACTCATTTGAAACCCCAGATATGTAAGTAGATCAGGAAATGTCTAGGAAGACGCAATTAGGTTTATCACTTTTTATTTCTTTATGGCTTGTGGACTCCTCTGTGTTAACCCCAGGTGCTTTCGTTTTGCTTTAAGCTGAACCTCAAGAGACTATTCTTATAGTTTTTTTTTAAATCTAGCAAAATCTTAAGTCCCAGATGTATTTTCTTCTTTTTTCAATAAAATTTACCTTTTTTAAGAACAGAATTGGAATTTTCTATCTTAAGAGGTTTGTGCACATGTTGTTTAATTAGCTGGTGGCAACAGCTGATTTCCTTTGTTTTTCTTCTCAGCTCTTTCTTGGGGGGGGAGGGGGCGGGTGGAAGGTGAAAGGGCTTGAGGGTACCCCACAGGAAGGAATTTCCAAGTGCACCTTCCTGAGTTCTCAAAGGGGTTTTGCACTTGGCTGGTGGCAGCATCTACCAAGCCAAGGTCAGAGAAAAGCTGTAACCTTGGAAGTTTAGTACAAGCCTGGAGTGGCAAGTATTAATTTTTAGAGTCCTTGTGGGCCCCCACCTTCTGCACTCGAAGTGCCAGAGTGGGGAATCAGTGTTGACAGCTCCATTGGCACTGGGCTCCATCTCGCTGCTTCGCAGTCAGGCAGCATAATCTCTGGCAACTCCTCGGAGTCCTCTGCCTCTTAGGTCAGTAGGGTGCTGGTCTGCTCAGTTGCTGATCCAGGATCCTGCAGAGGACGTGGCTCTCTAGAACAGTGGTTTTCAAACTGTGGGTGGCCACAAAGTATTGGGTCGCAGAATGTATGGCATTGGGTCACGGCGACTGTAGTCAGCACCGCCGACCGGGCCGTTAAAAGTCCTGTCAGCGGTGCTGCCCGGCTAAGGCAAGCTAGTCCCTACCTGTTCTGACACCGCGCTGCACCCCGGAAGTGGCCAGCAGCAGCTCCTGATCCTAGGCGGGGGGGGCCTCGGGGCTCCATGCACTCCCCCGAGCACTGGCTCTGCACTCAGCCAATGGGAGCTGCGGGGTGGGAGTGGTGCCTGCAGGCAAAAGCCGCATGGAGCTGCTTGTGCGCTTCTGCCTAGGAGCTGGATCTGCTGCTGTCCGCTTCTGGGGTGCAGCGCGGTGCCAGGAGAGGCAGGAAGCCTGAATTAGCACCCCTGCTGTGCTGCTGACCGGGAGCTGCCTGAGGTAAGCCCATGCCCCAACCCTGCACCAGCCCTGAGCCCCCCCAAACCCAGAGTCCCTTCCTGCACCCCACACCCCTCATCCCTGGCCCCACCCCAGAGCCTGCACCCCCAGCCCAGAGCCCTGACCCCTCCCGTGCTCCAACTCCTGCCCCAGCCCACAGCCCCCTCCTGCACCCCAAAACCCTTATTCCTGGCCCCACCCCACAGCCCTCACCCCTGCACCCCAACCCTCTGCCCCAGCCCTGAGCCCCTCCCACACCCCAAACCCCTCTGCCCCAGCTCCATTGGGTCGCGGGCATCAACAATTTTCTTCAACTGGGTCGCCAGAAAAGAAGTTTGAAAACTACTGACCTAGAAGAGATGTCCGCCTCCTTGTCTGTTCCAGTCACAACTGAGCTACAGGGCCCTCCTTTGATACTTCCTGTCCCACCTTGGTACTTCCAGTGAGGAAGGCAGGGTGGGTTTGGCTCTGCCCACCATGGGGAAGGTAGCATTCCTTCACTATCGAGTCCGGAGGGAGGCCACTCTGACTCAATACAGGGCCACAGAGATAACTTTGGGTAAACCAGTTTACAATAAAGTTACTTCCCTAACACAACCTCAAAACTTTGCCCACTCCTAGAATTAAGTTTGAATCAAACCTTCCTGAGAACACTTGACTCTGGCAACCACTCTACAGCAAGAGATAGGAGGAATGTCTCCAAACAATGCTATTTGTGATTCAAAGTACCTAAACATTTAGGTGAATATTTGGCTTGTAGTAGCATAATAATGACCATGCCAATGAATGAGTAGATCTCTATTTTGGCATTATCTGTATTTTTGCTACTTTAAGAGTGACTTCTTGACAATTTCATACTTCACATTTTGTCCTGTTACCTGTTCCCAGATCTTGAAGAAAAATCAAGAACCTAAATTATTATTTTGCTTAGATAGCAATTATAATAATAGATTAAATGCCAGTGTGTGTGTGTGTGTATATATATATATATAGAGAGAGAGAGACACACCTATCTCATAGAGCTGGAAGGGACTCTGAAAGGTCATCAAGTCCAGCCCCCTGCCTTCACTAGCAGGACCAAGCACTGATTTTGCCCCAGATCCCCCTTAAGGATTGAACTCACAACCCTGTATTTAGCAGGCTAATGCTCAAACCACTGAGCTATCCCTCTCCCTTGAATTAATAGCATGATATTACTGAGGCTCAAATAGCAGTCTTAGTACATAAGCAAAGACGTCTGAATAAAAACAGAGAAAGGGCAAAATATTTTAAATATATCATTACTACAGATAAATGTTTGAATAAAGTGGAATTCAATATTAAAAAGCCAGTGAAAATTATTAAACATCTGCATTTTGTTATGTACAGCAACTGCTCTCATAATGCATTAGCTTCAAAGCCTATGTTCAAGTCAAAATCTACAGCTTTTAGTCCAGGGCACAGCTTTCAATCATCTTTCTTTTTTTTTTAAAGAACATCTAAATGATAACATGTTTCAAGCAGCTCCTTCTGTGGAGTTGAACAAAACTAAAGATCAAAGTTAGTGCAATCTTGTTCAAAGGTGAAGAGGTGAAATCTTATGCATTCTGGAGGATCAGAGAAAATGGAAATGTACAGTGCTTCTTATGTGACACCTGAAGCCCACTTTCATTTAGGCACCTCATTTTCATTTAAATTCAGCCCGTTTCTCATCTTACAGTAACCATAAGAAATAGCACAGGACCATTTTGCAAACAAAACAAAACCAAAAAAAAAAAATTCAAAACACACCAGTAAAGGTGAAAATCATCAGGGTTTTTTTAGAATGACTGAGTTCTCCACATTAAGTTCTATATTCCTCCGTAAGCAGTAACATATATGTAATCGAGGAAGATGCAATCATTATTCGGTTTTTCAAGTGTCATAATGCTTTTGGTAAAGTAGGGTTTTTTGTTAAACCACCACATTTCAAAGGTTGGGGTGAGTGGGGGCATCTGAAAACGGCATTTCTTTCCTCCATAAAATCTTCGTGTGAGTGATGTGCCCTGGCATAATGTATCACAATGAAATGCAGCTGCCTAAAAGGAACTTCAAATGATGTCCTTTTTCCAGAAAAAAAAATGATAAGAAAATAGGCACCTTTTCAGCAAAAAAAGCTTTTAAAGCTTTAAAAGCACTGCAACCTGCAAAAAGGGTTTCAGGTAGAGGCTTCTTTACTCAATTTTGTATAAGTACCTGGAAACTACATGGGGGGAAAGAAAGTAGAAATGGGAGATTGTGCTTATACACTGAGAGAACTCGAGTACCCCAACGTAACACAGGATACCCAATGTGAATGACCTGTGATGTGATGTCACTTCTATATGTATTACCTCTGGATGACATAATTAATGGAAATCATGCTACAGCACCAACAGTGCTGATCTGTGAATGTTTTAACACTGGGGTCATGTATATGCCTGCATCTGAATCTGAGTCTAAATTTCATTGCTGGCCCCTTGTCCACATGTGAACCCAACCCTGAAGTGTGCCTTAAGCCTTGCTTGCTGTTTGGAGCAGCTTCTTCTCTCTCAACCAAGAGGTATGGGTCCTGCGTTCTGTATCTTGGCAACCTAGTCAGCCTGCTGCCCTTTCAGAAAATGGTTACAATCAAATAATATACTAGGAGTGTAGTCCAATACATAAGGAATAAAATATCTAACGATCACAATGCCCAAAGTAACAATACAGCAACAAGGGGGACTTTATTAGGTATGGAGATAAGGATACGGGATAAGGAAAGAATAAGAGTAACTAGAATAATAAAATAACAACAATACCTTAAACCCTCCCCCTTCCAACATTTACCACCCTAGGTAAATTTATGCACCTGCCTAGGCAGATAGAGAGTTGAGAATCAATTCTGTACTGAGTGTTGCAGTGCTATAATTTGTGGCTGGCTTAAAACTCACAAGCAAAATAATGAGACATGGGATTTCTTAGGAGGTCTTCACCTGAAAAGAGCAGTATCATCCTGAGGTTCCCTGGTCTGGAGTCAAATTCAAAATTAGGATTGCTCTTGGTAGACTTACCTGGAATCAGTCCTCAGACTCCTGGGCTGCCGTTCTCTGCTGGGCTAATACCCTTCAACAACCCAGTAACTGTCAACAGAATTCAAAGTTTCTTTTTGGGTCGGTATGGAAAGTTTAATGGGGACCTCCCAGGCTGTGATGCTTCTCTCTCTCTGCTCCATTCCAACACAACAACAGCTAAAACCAAAAGTAAAACAAAACCTTTTTGTCTCTGAATTCTGGGTTATGATTGGTTCTGGAAGTAGCTTACAACCTGTTCTATCGCCACCCAGGACTCTAGACAAGCTGAGAAACAGAGTCCCGAGCCTCTCTAGTCATTGCTGTTATAGTCCAGTCCGAGTCCCATAGAGTCTTAGAATAATATACACCTCTACCCCGATATAACGCTGTCCTCGGGAGCCAAAAAATCTTACCGCATTATAGGTGAAACCACGTTATATCGAACTTACTTTGATCCGCCGGAGTGCGCAACCCCGCCTCCCCGGAGCACTGCTTTACCGCGTTATATCCAAATTCGTGTTATATCGGGTCACGTTATATCAGGGTAGAGGCGTATATCCAGAGTGGATTAAATCTACACCTTGGTCTCAACATTCATCTCTACTTGTGAGTCCTGTAGGGCCCTATAGAGCTTGTTCACACTACCTACTTCCAAAAAGCCAATACCTCAAAAGACGAAGAACTTCATACTCCCTTCCATATCCACTTGCCCTCCGGATTTTCTTTGCACCTACTAACCCTACAAGAGAAGAGAGACATATTAATATGTGTGGCTACTGCTTTTTTTCTGCATACTGTGGAACCCTCCTTGGTGAGGAATTCATAGAATCATAGGACTGGAAGGGACCTCGAGAGGTCATCTAGTCCAGTCCCCTGCACTCGAGGCAGGACTAAGTATCTAGACCATCCCTGACAGGTGTTTGTCTAACCTGCTTTTAATAATCCCCAATGATGGAGATTCCACAACCTCCCTAGGCAATTTATTCCAGTGCTTAACCACTCTGACAGTTGGGAAGTTTTTCCTAATCTAACCTAAACTGCCCTTGCTGCAATTTAAGCCCATTGCTTCTTGTCCTATCCTCAGAGGTTAAGAACTATTTTTCTCCATCTTCCTTGTAACAACCTTTTATGTACTTGAATTCTGGAGATAGCTGCGGCAGAGGAGCCCTTGAAGTAAAGCACATACGTGTGCCATGCTTTGTAGGCTAGGCAGAAGTTGGTGGGGTTCAGCAGCACATGTAAACAATGGTCACCCACCCGTCTGCAAATCATAGGGAATCGATTGGTTAAGGATTAAAACTCCCAAGTCACAGAGTGTTTGTGTAATGGGAATTAGGGCTGTAAATTAGTAGTGGACAGATGCAACCATCTCTAGCATAAACCATGCTTGACAATATATAGGATACTGCTGGACCCTTCATTGTATTGCTACATTATACCTAGGCTTGGAAGGATTCCATTTTTTAATAAATAATTGTTGAAAAATTTCAATTTCACCATACACACACAAACCAAAGAAAACAATTTCCATTGATATCAATCAAAATTTACAGATCGGCAAAGAAAGAAAAATGCTACATGAGAACTTAGAGTTTGATTTAAGGCTATTTACTCTGTATATTTTGACTCGTGATGTTGACAATTTGTGTTTAAATGGTTATAAAGTTTAACTTTTTGAATCTCAGTGTCTATCATTAAATAATAATTACACGATTCCCTCCATAATTTCCCACAATTGTGAAAATTGAAATAAATTTAAAGAAAAAATGTTTAATAATGATCATGGATATTATCTGTCAAAATTATAAAAAATAAAAATCAAATTCGCAAGCCTAATTCTACCAGGTGATACACTCTGTTGTCCCAAAACTTTGAATAAATTTGCTGGAGTGTCAATTAATTAAGAAAAATCATAAACCTGCTCTTGGATATATAGGCATGCATCACTGCTTGCCTTCTAAAGTAAGCCATAGTGCATAAAAGCAGCAGCACACTGACCAGGATAGCCAGGTGAATGAAGAAAAACATAGAGATGGATTTAAGCAGCAGGCTACAACTTTATTAACTGAACACTGGGGAGGAGCTTTATACTAGAATGGGGCAAAAAAATTGGCTAAAACTTTTTTTACTTAAATATTTTGCGAATTGGTGTCAATTGTGGCAAACTCTGTTGAAATGAAAAAAGAAAAAAATTCCAGAAGTGTCTAAACAGATCAACATTATCAAAATGAAGTGTTCGATTTTTTTGAGTTTCACAAGAGGATACAGGCACCATCTACAAAACCAAAGAGGAGGTGGCGGTGGCAGCAGCTGCCTTTTTATAGCCCAGTAGTTAGGGCACTTGCCTGGGATGTCAGAGACCTAAGTTAAAACCCTGGCTCTGGGGCAAAGATTGGAGCGTGCATGTCCCCCTCCCAGGTGAATGCCCTAATCATTTCACTACAGAATCACTCTCTCTCTCTCTCACCTACTGACTTATTAAAAAGGGTTAAAAATGTCCAACACAAAACATTTAGTTTTGGGTTGAACTAAATGTTTGTTTGACCTGAAACTACATTTTAAAACCTTCTTCGATTAGTTGAAACTTCTGAAAAATTTTAGTTAGACCTGGACTGAATGTTTTCAGAGCTTCCAGTGACTGGAACAATCAGCTATTCACACAGCTGTATGCCCTGCCTCCACTGCCTGTCACATACCAGACATGTAAGTGGGTCCAGTGCAGGGGTTCCAGGGCTCACACCATATAACCCATAACTCAAGGAAGTCTCTCCTCAGCCTACCCCTATGATTCAGTTCACTGAATCCTCCCACCCTCCCGAGGATAGAGGGTATCAGAGAACAACATGGGTCTGTTAAGACTTCACCTTTCCCCTTCTCCCATAGGCTCCAGGTCCACCAGTGAAATCTCAAGTCTCTTTTACCACTGAGCATGGGTAGTGTGTGAATGCACCAATGGGGGAGGCTAGCCCCGGGCTCTTTCCCCTCTGCCCAAGGCCCCACCCTCCCAGAGCCCAGAGCGCACACACACACACACCCCATGACCGACGGTCCACCCCCACCCCCAGGAGCACCACGCTGGCAGTGCAGCCAGAGTCCCCCAGCTCTGGAGCACTGGACAGGCATTGCACCCAACTCCAGATGGGCAGATGGACATGCGGCATGGCGTTGGCCCAGCTCCAGTGTCTCCAGCCCTGGGCCTTGTGAGCACCAGCAGCAGCACTAGCAACCCAAGTCTCTCCACCATAGAAGAGCAGGAAGGGAACTGGAAGCAGGCAGGAGGGAGCCTGGGGGCAAAGGGTGGGTGGGGCGACACCAGGCTGTTTGGAGAGGCCTATGCTACCTGCTGCCCATGCCTCAAAGACCTGGCCTTTGAGGCCTTAAACTGGACACCAGCCACACTTTGCAATTAATTAAAAAACCACATTCTTACAAGTTACTAATATTAATATCTAAACCCTACTGCTATTTCACCAACTGTGCATCCATGATTCTGCAAGGAAGGCAAAAAATCCCACCGGGTCTCTGTCAATTTGGCTCCAATAGGAAAAATTCCTTCTTGACTCCAAAACAGGTGATCAGTCAGACGTGTAGCATCTTAAAAACTCAGCTTTTATATTACAACTACTGGGAGAAAGCGGGGAGCAGATAAAGGGAGAAAAAGCCTGGGTAGGGTTCTAAATTAATGAGGGGAGGACAGTGAAGGGCCAATATGCTCCCATCTCCTTCTGGAGAAGGAGGGGCCCATGTCTGTGTTTCCAGGCATACAACTCTCCCCCTCCCTCTGTAGCTGTCCACACTGTAGGTCTGATCAAGTTTTCCACCTGGTAAGATAGGTGGGTGGCGGTAGCTGATTTTAAATGACACACATCCATGCAGGTTCACATATATGAGCACAAGTTTAAACAATAGAAATGCAGCCCTTGTTGCCACCTGTTCACCAGTGTTTGAGATCACCTTTTAATTTTCTTTGGGGTTAAATATAAAGAGACATCAAAGAACTGATCTAATGCCCTGTGTTTGTTGCTGATCTCCTGGGGTTACGCTCAATGCGAGGTTCCTCTGGAGAATGCTGCATGTGAGCTAAAGCTTTATATGGAGGATCTCAAATAGGAATTTAATGTGGATTTTAAAAGAAGCGATACGCTTAATAGATGAACATTTTGCAATATTTAAGGAGCAACCTTTATGTGAACTATGAGAGACTAATTTGCAAATATGGACTGGCCAAATCCTGCATTTCCATGATCAATTTGGAAGGCATATAAATGGCCATATTATCTGCTTAAAGGATGGATTAAAATGTCCAAATATTGAAATTTCAACTTTCCTTTAAGGTACCTTTGCCTGAAAATTGGGCTAAATTATCCATCTTGGAAAACAGAGCTCCTGGTGACAGCTTTGTTTAGCTGAACATTTCAGTAGTGTTTAGCAGTCCCAGTTCAACTTCTACACACCTCTAGAAAGCAGAATCATATGAAAATAACTCACTGATGTTGTAATAGCTATAGCAGCAGCTAATATTCATATTAGGCCATAACCAACAGTACTTTTTTTTTTGAGACCCTGCCTCAATTAGCCAGCATGTCCCTCACAATTTTCTACATCCTAAGTGACTGCTCCATTTTGGGGCAATGGAATGTTGAAACCCATAGGCAGGGCACAGGCTGCCTCTTAACAAAGGGTACAGTCAGTCACTATACTCCGGCATACATGACAGAGACAAAATCTCATAAGATGGAATAGTAGGTCAGAGGTAGCATATTGTTATTGTTTCGTTCTGTATTTGTATTTTTTATGGACTATAAACCCTGATGATCCAATAAAGGGCTGTGACCATGAACTCCAATTGGCTGCATAGTGCTATTTCATGGAGGGGCGAGTCCAACAGTAATGAATTCATTCAACGTAACGATTTTGGTTTCACAGCACTGCTCTGTTTCCTGGGTACCTGCAGAAGATAAGCGAGTGTGTCACTGTCATAAATTCAGACACATATACAACATTAAAATATCTTATGGCGTGCTAAGTCTCTGTGAAATGTCAGAATAATAGATATGGTGACCGTATTTGCTATTTGCCAAAAATACTAATTAACTAGTAAAAGTTAATAAAAATATACATTCCTAAAAATTATGCAACAGCCAAAATATCATTTTTGTCTTATTCATGGTTGTATGAATACAAAATGCCATTGAGTCTTCATCTTTAATACCTAAGGGATTTATAAGCATATTGCCACAATAAAACTTGGTTCATCTGTACAGTACACAGCCCAGATATGCATATTTAATTACTTTGAAAGTAATTTACTTGTATATATGGTGGTATTAGAGGGTCTTATTTCAATTTAAGTTACTTCTGTTTGAAAAACAACATTATTTTGGTATGATTCTCCAGTAAAGAATTTGTTTTATAACAGATGAATAATACTTGACAATTATAATTAACATACATGATTAATTGGATACATTCACAATAAATATTTTGTTTGAAAGTGTACATAGTAGAGGAGGCAGTTCCCTAGCATTCTAAATTCAAAGTTCTAATTTTTATGAAGTGTTAGGCAATATTTCTTAAGTAGGAAAAAAGGGCCAAATTCATTCGTGGTGTAAATTGATGATATTCCACTTAATTAATTAATGGAGATATCCCATCTCCTAGAACTGGAAGGGACCTTGAAAGGTCATCGAGTCCAGCCCCCTGCCTTCACTAGCAGGACCAAGTACTGATTTTTGTCCCCACGATCCCCAACGTGGCCCCCTCCAAGGATTGAACTCACAACCCTGGGTTTAGCAGGCCAATGCTCAAACCACTGAGCTATCCCTCCCCAATTTAATTTAACTTAATTTAACCCTGGGATTTAGAAAAAAATCTGTTGCAAAATTGTCTGCTCACCTATAAAGGTTAAATGGATAAAGCTAAAGGGCTCAGTTCAAAAACACCTGTTATAATTACAGGATTCTTCCATGGCAAGTAGTTGCACATGTCTTCTACATGTGTGAACTGTGCACAAGATAAAAATAAATTAAGTAAATACTATGCATAGCACAATTATGGGAAGGTAAGGTAGGCATTAACAGCAGAGAAATCAAAACATGTAAGTAAGTAAGATAACACCTGGTTTCACCTAGACCAATTATTGATAGTAAGTTTTCCTCAACAAAGTTACTTCTTCCTGTAGTCCACTGCAAAAAGGGTAATAGGACAGAATGTCCATCAGCCTTGCTTTTCTGCCTGCAATATAGCCTCTCACCATGCTCATTCCATTCAAACAACAACAATATCCAACAGCACATGTGTAAAGGAAAAAAGAAAGCCTTATAGCATATTGTATTAATTATTAAACAGTTATTGGTAAACCATAAATGTTTCTTAAAGAAAGATTGCTTTCTGGTAAAACACTGCAAAAAGTCCATGTTTGCTAGACTTTCTTCAGTAAGTGTCTGTCTTTATTAAAGCGATCTGTGTCTCAGAGGTAGCATATGTACCATGTGCTTCTGTGGTTGCTATGGTAAGCATTCATGTTTTATTGAAGAGTAAATGGCCAAAACCCACACAAAGGGCTCCCAGGTGGCCCTAACATAAGCTACTTTTTTTCCCCTCGAACTATTTTTGTTTTATAATGAATATGCATGTTCAGGGCCAGATTTAGGGGTAGGTGACTCAGGCAATGGGCTGGGCTTCCAGGCTCAAGGTGCTGTTTTTGTTGTTAGAGACAAAAGGGAAAATAGAATGTTTGAAGTAACATGCTTCAGGTATTCCATATGTGGATTCATTTTTCAATAACCTCCTAGAATGTTCTGGACCTGGTAGAATCTTGTGGAAACTTCCAAACTGTATGAGAACTATATTTTCCTCAAACCTCCTAGAATGTTGTCAGCCATGCCCTTCCCGGTATATAAGGGGCGGGGCATCGGCAGTCAGTTAGTGAAATATAAGAATGGACTGAGGTCAAGCGAGAGCCCAGTTGTTATATTGTGAACCTTGTTTTATTGTGAAAGTGTACTTGTGTTTCAAGACTTGAAGAGTGTAAATAATGACTAATAAAGAACATATTTTATGAGATGCCAGAGATATCTATTGAACCTCTATCTACTCAACAATATAAAAGAAATACCATTCTTTTGACATGCTGTACATGTAATGTTTGATGACTTTCTAAGGTTGTGGAACATAGACTTTTGCTCTCCCTAATACTCTGTTTTCTCCTATAGAAAATAAAAGATGCCCCTAAAGAAGCCTTCTGGGGTTTAGTATAGGAAGCGAAAAGCTCAGTTGCAATCTAGTTTGCAGCAAGGGCAAATTTTAAGGGTTAACATTCTAAGGCTGTCACCTACTGTAACACTATTCAACACTGGTCCATCCAGTGTTGGTGCACAGTTCAATTTCTTGATGTTAGTACATTTCAATTATTCTTAAAATTAAAATGTTTCTATAAGCTTAGAGGAAACATTTTTTTATTTGCTTGAATAAATACAGATTTACAAATTCATCATCTTATATGACAGGGACAAATCAGGCATGCAAAACATGAAATGGGCTACAAATCCAATAAAAAATAAGGTATTCAAAAGTTTAACAAATAGAGCATGGGGACAGGGGCGCCCGGAGGAGGGGGGGCAAATGGGGCAATTTGCCCCAGGCCCTGGGCCCCACAAGGGCCCCCAGCCCCACGAGAATGTCTGAGGCTCTCCCGGCCCCGGCCCCGCCTTCCCCCATCCCCGGAGCCTCAGCACACCAGGTCAGGAGCGGCCCTGGACAGCGCTGCAGTGGCGTGGCTCTGGCGGGGCCTGAGCTCCTCCCACTGAGTCAGAGCCGCGTGGTAAGGGGGCGGGGCTGCGAGCTCCGATCCCGCCGGAACCACGCCGCTGCAGCTCTGTCCAGGGGCCAGGGCAGCTCCTGGATGCGGCACTCTGAGGCTCCGAGAGAGGGGAGAGGAGGGGGTAACCCAGGAGCGGCCCTGGACAGCGCTGCTGGGGGGTGGGGGTGGTGAGGGGACGGGGAACGGGGGGTTGGTGGGGTCCCAGGGTGGTGGTTGGGGGGGGGGTGAGGGGACAAGGAGAAGGATGGGTCGGGGATTCTGAAGGGGGCAGTCGGGGGGCAGGAAGTGGGTGGGGGTCAGATGGGGGCAGAGCCAGGCTGTTTGGGGAGGCACAGCTCATTCTTCAGTTTGAGGCTTGCAGACAGTTATTTAACACAATGAGCCAAGCTGTTATCTTTCCCCTTAGGGCTACCATCCCTTTCACTTCTCAAATGCCAAATTATAGTCTACATTTAATTTCAGTGCCATAGGGAGATTCATGTCAGGGGAGGGTAGCTTCATTTAAAATTAGCCAGTGGGGGAGGGATCACATGAGAAGAGCAATATCCTACACCACCTACCTCCTTCCCAACCCTACCAAGGGAGACCCCCCCTCCTCTGCATTCCCCAAGGCTCCAGAGGGATTAATTCAGTGGTCCTCAAACTTTTGTACTGGTGACCCCTTTCACATAGCAAACCTCTGAGTGTGACCCCCCCTTATAAATTAAAAGCACTTTTTTATATATTTAACACTATTATAAATGCTGGAGGCAAAGCGGGGTTTGAGGTGGAGGCTGACAGCTCGCGACCCCAGTTTGTGAGGGACCCTATGGAGCCAGTCTCTAGGAAACAACCTCCATGAATGGCTATTAGCCAGGATGGGTAAGGAATGGTGTCCCTAGCCTCTGTTTGTCAGAGGGTGGAGATGGATGGCAGGAGAGAGATCACTTGATCATTACCTGTTAGGTTCACTCCCTCTGGGACACTTGGCATTGGCCACTGTTGGCAGACAGGATACTGGGCTGGATCAAGGATGGACCTTTGATCTGACCCAGTATGGCCATTCTTATGTTCTAACCTAAATGAACCCAAAGTTATGGAGACAGATATGAGTCCAGGAAGCCAGCAGAGAATCCGAAACCTGGAAAAATCTCTGACTGGATGGGCTCAGGCGTTTGGTCACAAGTTGAGGTGGTTCAAAAGTTTTGGATTTTTTTAAGCAGAATTTTTTTATTGTTTCTTTAAACAATCAAACACAGCAAGCAGCAAATATTTGGCCACACACTCCTGAAACCCCAAACCATGTTCAGGTTTTGGCAGACTAATTTCAGCGTTTCAATTAAAAAAAAACACAACAAATTTTGAAGGAAAGCAGACACTGTCCGTGATTTTTTTTGCCTTTTAAAAACCCCTAGTTTTCGATCCAAAAAAAGTTTTGATGGAAAATATTTGTCCAACCCTTTTAATGAGCTTTAGTGCCTTTTAGCTCTAGCTGATGCTGAGAACCAGTGATACCTTGTAAAGGTGACTTGGAAAGAAGTTTTCTCAAAACTGGGTTTGTGCCGAGATGCGGAAGGTTTTTAAATGTTTATTTTTCCCAGGGCCGTCCGGGGGTTTGGGGGGGAAGCGAGTGGGGCAATTTGCCCCAGGCCCCGCAGGGGCCCCCATGAGAATATAGTATTCTATAGTATTGCAACTTTTTTTTATGGAAGAGGCCCCTGAAATTGCTTTGCCCCAGGCCCCCTGAATCCTCTGGGCGGCCCTGCATGGGGGTGCCGGAGACACTCCTCACCTGGGTCAACATTTGATCTAGGGCCGGCCCTGTGCATGTTTTCCTATCTGAAGTAAGGACCCTCCTTTCCTTTAAGGTAAGCGACTTTGCCTTCATTTTGGATTGTGATCTACAGATTAAAAAAAGATTATGGGCCTGATTCTGGGAGGTGCAGACCATCTTCAACTCCCATTGAACTCATTGTATTAACTTATGCCTTATGAAGGGTTTAGTGAAACAGATTGCTAACGTCCTCTTGTCTTCCTCCTCCTAATTACAGAAAAAAGTCTCAGTATGATGGGGAAATGACAGGCTTGCTGCAGTTAGCATGCCATTATAAGACTGATATTTTTAATTTCCCCTCATAAAGAAACAAATCCTCCAGCTTTCAAACTTTAGGTTTACCTACAATTCTCACACGCTGTCTGTTCTAAGAACCTTAAACAATTATTTTTGTTAAAAAAGGCCTTCAAAATGGCTCCTTTTAACATTTTTTATAAATTGTCTAAGGTTTCTATGTCTCTCAGACTCCAGCCAAATTACACACCAGGGCAATATTTGAAATGTAGATAGAGTCTGACATTACCCGCTACAAGAGGCAGCTCCTAAGAACAGCAACGGTAAAATATTAAAGGAATAAATATTAATTAAAAATTGCGATGGACTTGAGGGCTTCAAACTAGAGCTGGTGCCACTTGGCAACCGGGCAGGACCAAAGTGCTGCCCCGATATTTCCTGAGTCAATCAGCCAGCCCCCTTTGCAGCTCTATTCCAGGAGCCACTTAGGAGCTCCTGCTGATGGCCACTCTGACAAATCCATCTCTCTGTTCCTACCTCCCCCGGCCCTTCAGTGAGAGCCTGCCCAGGAAAGGTGACTGGGAGGAGAACCCCAGCAACCAAACACCACAGCTGCCTCCACTGACAAGAGCTGCCTCCAGCACTGCACACACCAGCCCCATGTGCCTCCAGAGGCACTGCCCAGAGCCACCAAGACCCTAATCCCAGCTGGTGGCTCCACTGGAAGCAGCAAGGCGGTACATCAATCTGCCCTTGGTAACAGCTATTGAGGAGCAATAGCTGAGCGCTGCAGGGAGGAGCCACTGCCTTCTCCGTCCAAATCTCCACGCATGCTTTGGAGTCTGTCGTGGCCACAAAAAATTCTGCTAATGGCCGCATGCGGCCACAATGGCTACAGTTGAGAAATGCTGCTGTAGACATAGATAAACAAGGACTATGAAAGGGGTTTCCAATGACCCTGCCAATAAAAGGCTGAGAACTCCTCCCTCCCTGCCAGTCCCCTGGGCAGAGTGTGGGCAAGGTTATGTGTGGATGTGGCGTATGCAAGAATGTAGGTGACAAAGGGTAGGTGGGTGAGTGAGTGATAAAGAATGGGAGAGTATGTGAGTTGCTGGGAGTTTGATGCATGAGCAG